AAGTGTGTGTGTGTGGGGCGGGGGAGAATAGAGAATATGGTGACTTCATTTTTTTATATTTCAACCATACCTGACTACTGTTCCTTGAACTTGCCAGAAAGTTCCAGTTCTAGGCCTTTGCCTATGCTGTTTCTTCTGCTGACTACCCCCATCCTTTTTAGCCACATAGTTTCTCTCTCCATATGTCACATTTTAAATCAAGTTGTCCTGGAACATCCTATGTAAATTGCACCCCTTCAATACTCTTATCCGTTTCTCTATTTTTTCAAAGCACATGCAACTCTCTAACACAATCTCTATTTTACTCTTTCCCCCTATTTATTGTCTGAGCACCTCAACGAGAATATGAAGGCAGGACTTTTTATCTGTTTCATTCACCACTGAATGTATCTAGAACAGAGCCTGGTGTATGGTAGGCAGTTAATACATTTTTGATAAATGAATGAATGAACTAGGACAGTGAATAAAATTCTTTCTGGGGCTAGGTAAGGTATATGCACGTATAATACATATCAGAGTCCTATAAATTAAATATCTTGTTTTACTGATTTATTAATATTGTTCAATATATTTGAAGATAAATATATTAAATATCTATGCTTTTCAAAGTCTATAGCTTTGAAAAGATTTCTGGACTGCAGTTTGAAGAGCTGGGGTCAGTTCTGGCTTCTTCGAAATACCTCTGACAGGGAAGAAGCATTTCGTCTTCCTGTTTTGAAACCTGTGTTTATTAAATGGATATAATGTTCCCCGTGTTCCTCACAGGATTATCATGAGAATTAAATAAAACATTGGATATGTAAGTGTGAAAACTCAAAGGCAAATCACTCAAATCTCTGTCAGGAAGGAACACTGTTATTAATGTCTGATTCTCACACGGTGAAAGAATTCAGAAAGTGATTCTACTTTCCTCACGGTGACAGAAATACACAGTATACAAGAGAGGCCAGCATTCTGTAGGCCTTAATCCCTGCGAGATACTGGGACGTCCTCTGAGAAACTTATCTTATGAAACCTGAGTGCTCTTTGGAGCTTATCAGGAGTGTTTCATGAGGGGAAAGGAGAGCAGAGGCCAGCTATGTCATGGAATATTCCTTCCTTTCTTCCATTCGCCCAGGCTCTGGTGCATTTCTTGCTGTGTATTATTGACAGAGGAAATGCTGATTCATGGGTCTGAGTTACAGGAAACCTTGTTTCCTGGTGAAGAAACAAGCCTGCCAGTACTGCCAGCATCCTCCTCTGCCAGGTTCTGCCACATGCCCTGCTTCTGGGCCTGCACCCAGACTGACTGAAGGGGTAGGGCCAACTCAAGCTTAACCAGTGAGGTCACTTTCCCCCATGAACTGAATAAGCTCAGCTCCTCATGGGGCCACTCTAGGGCCCAGCTCTGACCCCAGGATACCTTTCTAGCCCATCTCCCCCTGTCCCCCTCTTGCCCCCTCTACTACAGCGACACCTGACTACTCCCAATTCTTCATGAACACTTTGTATTTTCCAGTCTCTGTGCCTTGGCTCGTGATGTTCCCTGCCTGGCCTGGCCCCTGACCCAGTGTCGGCTCGTTGAAATCCTACCCGGGCTTTGGTTTTGCGCAGCTGCTACTTGCTATGTGAAGCCTGCTCAGTTTCCTTCTATTTCTTCATATTCTTCTTAGTCGGAGCATTTTCCAGTATTTATAGAAGTAGACCAAATTATCTGATAAACTTCCATGGATCCTCATCCAGCTTCAACAATGATCCTTAAATAATCCTCGATCCCTCCTTCTCTGAGCTCCTCTGCTAACACGCATGTTCGGTGCTTAAGCCATTTTGGCTGAATTCGATGAGAAGAATGTAATCAGTGGATATAGGGTGCTCTCTCTATCCTCCTCTTTGAGGCTCAAGAAGTGCAGTGAGCATTTCACAGGGCAGTGGCAAACTTAGGTCCCATTTTTCTGAAAGGCCTCCCAGTCCGATGAGAAGGGGTGGATAATATACACGTAACAGGAATGGGATGCTGGATGTCAGGTACTCCAGGAGTTCAGGTTAAATGGTTAGGAAGTGGCGTTGAACAGATAAATTAATCTTCTATCCAATTGGTTAGTAAGAGGACTCCTTTAGTTTGGCACTGAGCAGTCTGCTGGTCTTGTATGCCGTCTCATCTGACATCCACATGCTGAAGAAGAAGACATCTGATTTATATGGAGAAAAAAGTCATCAGTATGAGATCTTTGTAATGTGATCACATCTCATTACAAAGATCATCATTAAAAAGTTTCAATGGATAAACATTCTCAAACAATTCCTGTTATTGATACTAATAAAGAGTAGAGGGTAGGTATTCTACATTGACGGATCTAAATGCTCTGGAGTTAAATTTTACTAGAAGGTGAGAAGGGAAATTAAGGGAGTCTGAAGTCCTGTGTCTGGAGGTGACTGTGCATTGGATGGCTTGGGAAGAGGGAAAGTAGAGGAGGAGGTTGGAAGACAAAGCAAGAAATAAAAAGCCTGTCCTGGGAGAATGGCAGTGTTTCATCTCGATCCAGACTCAGCTCAACCCTATACCTTTGAGGCACAGCCAGGGTCATCTGGAGGTAGTCTGAGGTGCCTTGATCTTACCATATCACTGTGGGAGGGAGGGTCTGGACATCAGCCAAGAACTAAAGCTGCTACCAGTGTGAAGTGGGGGTGGGGAGGATGGAAGGCTTATGTGGCTTTTCCTCTTAAAATTGGAGTGAAAACACAATTTAAAAAAAAAAAAAAAAGGAGTGGGCTGTGAGCAGGTCTCTGCCAGGCACTCTGCCAGCCCCTGTTCCTCATCCCATTTACAGATTGGTGGCCACTCAACACCCGAGTCACAGGGAGGGTCTGAGCTTCACCAAAGGGATGGACGGGAGAGTGATTTGCAGCCTGTGAAGTGCCTCCTTAAATCCAGATTGCTTTACCTCTGTCCTTATTATTAGGAGCACACTAGGGGAATCCAATGACAGGAGGGGAGAATAAGATAGGAGGCAAAGGATTGTTAACACGAGGGGTTTGCAGTTCACATTTTATGTCCAGAGACCTGGGTAAGGAGAAAGCTGGGGAGACTCCTGGAACTTTTGTCCCTTCCCCACATCCATCATCTTCTATTTTTACCCCTGTGGAGATTAGCAAAAAAAAAAAAAAAAAGAATTAAAGGGGAAACTTTTCCCATGTGCCAATTTTAGGGGAGGCCTGTCAAGGGGTGGGCATGTGGGAGGATCGGGACAGAGAGAAGGGCTTTGCATTCTGAGGTGGTCTGCAGTTATGAAAAGAGAAAAATGAATAGAACTTGTGGGTCCTGTGGAGCAGGGGGTCAGGATTTAAGGCTTAACAGGCAGAAAGATGGGGAATATCCCTGGATTGGTCTGTGGGGAGTCCTTTCATGCATAGGACTGGTAAAAGGATACTCGAGACACTGCAGACAGGTTTTTGTGACAGCAGATGATGGTTTGTTCTCTAAAATCCCTGAGAATAAGTTTCCTCCAGAGGAAGAACACCCCTCCTCCCACCCCACCATGCACACCTATTTATTTGCTTACCAAAGTCTTTCTTCAAGGGGATTAGAAAGGCAAGCATGGCCGGCACCAAGTAAGCATTACACACTCCGTGTATCCTCAGCACAGCAAGCTCTGGTGCTGGTCACCTGGGATCACATACAGGGTGCAAACTGTCACAATGCTTCCACCTCAGCAAAGGTGTGGAGCTCAGAACCTTCCCAACCAAGAAGGAAAATCAGGGCGTCTTTTTCCGCCTGTAAAGATTTCATTCTTGTGTACTCTGCTTCAGGATGTTTCCAAGCCAGAGCAGAGGCATTCTGGGAGTGGAAGGGGGGGCATGTCCTTGAGGGCCTGGGAGATTTCCATCCAAAAGCTCAGGTGAGGGCCTTGGCCTTGGAGATTGCATTACCAAGAGAGAGCTGGCAGGAGGGAACCCTGGGCTGGGCTGAGCTGATCTCATTAGTGCTAGGTTAATCCTGAGGTTAATATATATTCGTGAGACTTTTATGTTTCCTGGCGTATTGCTTCTTCCTGTTTTTTTTTTTTTTTTTCTTTTTTCCTTCTCCATTGCTGGGGATTGAACACAGGGACTTATGCATGCCAAGCACTTGCTCTACCACTGAGCTTCATCCCCAACCCTTCTTTTCATTCTTAAACTGAGTGCGGATCTGTAGATTGGGCATGGATTTAGCTGTATTCCCATTGAAAAGCAGGGCCAGTTTATGTACCAAATTCTGAGTTCTCCTCTGGAAAGAGTTTTGTTCAGAGTTTGGGTCAGATGATCAGGCCCAGAGGAAGTACAGAACAAAAATGAAGAGTCCTTGATTGTGTGCCTGGAAATGCTGAACAAACCATTCTCTGGACAGAGAACCCTAATTCTTAGTGTTTGCCGAGTTCTGTGGTAAAAATACTCCCACTGTGGCTGTTTGCAAGCTACCAACATAATGGCACTGAATGAACTGGGAGAAGGTGCCCAGGATCAGCTCTGGTGAGGACACAAAAGCACACCACCAGCCAGCAGTCAAAATAGGCACACACACTGGAACTCACTTAGAGGAGCAGAAGGAGTTGGAACTCAGATGAGGAGATAGGTAAGTGTGTGTGTGGGTGTGGGAAGTGTCAACAGCAAACCGGGACAGGGCAGGCGGAAACCAGCATCAACCTGGCTATAATTAATGGTCATCCTAAGATAACAGCTATTGTTCACTGATGTGACAAACACTGTGTTACCAGTGACTCTCAGAGCATCTCTACACTGGCATTTTTTTATTCCAGTTTTACAGATGAAATTAAGAAAGAAAAAGTGATTGGTCATATAAGAAATCACAATGAGAATACAGACCCAGAGTCTGATCCATTCTACGATCAGGTCAAGGGGAGCCTGGTGTGAGTCATTTTCCTAGATGGGCCAGACTGGTAGTAGATTTTCATTCCTGGGAGGACCCACAGCTTTGTAGGAATGAGGTCATTGGGTAGATTATGAAATCAGGGATTCTGGATCAGGAATGAGACAAGGTACTGAATGCAGAGTTTAAGTCAGAAAATGATGAACTTGATGTTGGTTCCCCTGACTCTTTGCCCTCCAACTAAAGACAAAGCCACAGATACCATGCCTGGAGTGGAGTAAGATATCGGTCAGTCAGGATATCAATGATATCCTTGGGATATCCTTGATGGGACTTGTTGGGACTTCTTAGGAAAGACCTAGGTAGGATGACTGTCTGGATGACTATGGTGATCTGTGCCTTTTTTTGTTTGTTTGTTTGTTATCATTAATATATATTTTTGGTAACGGGGACTGAAACCAGGGGTGCTTAACCACTGAGCAGCATCCTCAGCCCTTTCTTGTGTTTTATTTAGAGACAGGATCTCGCTGAGTTGCTGAGTTAACTTCGAACTCGAGATCCTCCTGCCTCAGCCTCCTGAGCCACTGGGATTATAAGGGTGCTCCATTGAGCCCGGTTCTCTGTGCTTTATATGAATATGGTATCTACAGTGATTTAAAACACATAGTCCATGAAATCTACTTTGGGAAAATACACACTTGTACCTAATTAATCCATTGCTTATGACCAAACATCATTCTGAGTCAGAACTGAGGCTGGTGGCAGCTGTGTACCTTGTAAGGTATGCAGGCTGAATGAAGGCAGAGCTGGGTAGAAGACCAAGCTGCCTTAGGTATTGGAAGAGAGATGCACCAAAGTGCTCAGAAATTGGAGAGAGCTAAAAACCAAAGAATGAGAACAAGAAGGGGAGGAGGGAAGGCTGGAGATCACGTTAAAGAAAATCAGAGGAAGGCTACTTCCCAGGTGGAGGTTGATCAAGCAGATCCAGCACCATGAAGAAACAGGAAGCCCTCGGGGACTTAGTGTGAAGCTGGCTGGAGAGGGAAGCTGGATGGTAACAAGTTGCTAAGACATCAGGCTTAATCTCTCTGGTTTTTCTTCTCTGGAGGTAGTTCATGTTCTGTAGTTCTCTTCCTAAACATAAGAAGTTAATTATGTTTCTTAATTCTTAATATTTTGGGTTTGAATTGCAGTGGCACAAAGGGAAAAGTTGGGACATTATTAAAAGAAAAACTAGAGGAAAGTTGAAGCCCAGATGCTGTGATTATAGATGCCTGGTCTATGAAAGACGAATCTCCCTTTTCATTTGGTGTTAGGCATCAAAATCAGTGCCAATTACATCACATGGGGATTTCATTGGTTACAGCATTATGATGTAGGTTCGGTTAGTATCCTCAACTTAGAGGTGGAAGGTTGCCCTGCTGTTGCATGGCAGAGGTAACATTTAAACCTCAGACTCTCTTCAGAGGCTGAGCCTATATATCATCAGGGCACCCAATATGTAATTCTCTCTTATTTTTTTTAAGATAAAATGTTGATCATGCCATATGATCCTCATTCCATATTGACCCTATGGTTATTGAAAGTCCTAGAAAACAGATCTTGTAGTTGCCTGGGCAGAACTAAAACCAATCTCAGCTTCAAGGTGGAGTCTTGCTAGTTCTGTCACATGCGATGCCAGCAGTAGGAAAAGAGCTCTTTTCAGAAGACCACGCACTTGTGAGACTGTCAAACAAGCAGAGGTGATTTGAATAAATTCCCTCTGGGAATCAACGATGGGACAGAGACCTAGAAAGTGACAACCCACCCAGATAGTGGGCTACCAGAAGATCAATCGTGGTTTCTGTTGAGTAAGGGGAACACGGAGCTGTGTAAGGCTTCATACTCAGGAGACATCAAAATCCTGCTCTCCCTAGTGAGCATACTCACAATGTCTTGGCCCATGGTGGAAATGTTGGACCAGAGCAAATTTTGGCAGAGCAAATGGTGCTGGGTGGAAGAGTCAGCACTTGCTCAAATTGTTCTTCCACTGGTTGAGCCAGGTGACTTTAGGAATATTGCTTATTCCCCCTAGGGCCTCTGTGAGGTGGGCAGGAGAATTCTTTCCAACATTCTCTCTAGAAAGCTGGGAGAATCCTAAGAGCTTAGAGATCTTCATGAGCTTAGAAAGAGAAAAACCAAAGCAAAGCCATTACTGGAGGTAGGAAATAAGATGTTTAATCTTGTAGGAATAAGAGGGAAGCAACACTGTGGCTAGTTGGGAGTCCTTCAGAGGCTCTCTGTGGGGGGATGATAGGTGGGTCCAAAGGGAAAGGAAGCCCCTTGACACTTTGTCCAACCTGGCCCAGTGCCTGTGTCTCTGCAGCAGCCTCCCGCTGCCTCTGCACTGACTCGGGGCCTTCACCTGCTGCAGAGGGCGCTTGCACCAAGGCCCGCAACCTGTGAGCTTCCTGCTCTGCCTACCCTTGGGGCCTCTCTCCCCTCTTCCCTCCTGGCCTCCTCTTCTTTCTCCTTTTTGGAACAACTGTGCATAATCCCCTCTCCCCTTCTTTCGCCCTTCCCCAACACTCCCACCTGCCCCTTCTGGTTCTATGCCAACAGCTGGCCAGTGAGTAATGCCAAATCAAACAGATGTGAGCAATACTGGCCGGCACGTGCTCTCAGGCTCCCCCTGTAGCCCCTGCCGGAGGAGGGCTCTCTCTCTCTCAACTGACCAAAGGCTGGGAACCTCCTTTCAGGGGCACTGTCAGGTGCCATGGCTTGACAGTCTCCTTCCTCCTTAGCTTGCAGTTTTCTTGAATTCTTTTAGTTCAGCACCTCTTCTTTGACTTTGGTAGCTACTCTCTAATTTTTATTTATGTGTAACTCTTTCTCATTAATGCAACTCATGAGCATTTTAAGGATTACATTTTAAAAAGGCAAAAATTATTCTTTAAAATATGGGCTTTAAAAATCAAATTCTTCCAGATTTGTTAAAACAAAACAAAACAAAACCCATCACAATAGGCCAGAAACGAGCCAGAAGAATAAAAACAGCTGGTCTTCTTCACCACAGCCTGCCCAAGCCCAGGATCTTAACCATGTCACTTCCTTCCTTTCTTAGTGGCATGCAAAATTCATGGTAATTCTCAGAAGCAGGTACACTTGCAAGCAAGCATCTTTGATTTTCTGTACAATTGGCTAATTCTACTCACTCCCACCTACCTGTCTAAGTGGGGATGAGTTGAGAATAGCAGCAATTAACCCAAGAGAGCCCTGTGACAGATCAAAGCCCTCTGGAGCATTGAAGTCTCATTGAAAATAAAAGTAGCAGATCCAGCATAATGATATGAAGATTGTTCAAGTTTTAAATTATATTTTTTTTCTTATAAACACAAGAAGTGAAACAGCTTGTGTTCTGCAAAACTGCCACATAAGAAACAGCCCCAACAGAAAAGAAAAGCAACAATAACAACAAAAGTGCAGCAATTCATATGGATGATTCTTGTAAAATATGGTCTTAAATATTGACAATCATCCTGCCTACCTGACTGTTTCAAAATTCCACAGACATGCATGCCTTCTGCATTTGTTAGTGGAACAGAAAATGCAAGATTGCTAGATTTGGCCTCATCTGTTTTTTTTTTTTTTTTTTGTATGTTGCTTAAGAGATTATAAACATTTAGAAAGTATTAAACTGTAATAGTAATAGTATGTTTCCCATTTTTCCCTGAAATTCCAGGAGGCTCAGAGTTGAATCTGATGCTCCCTCCAACAATGATATTAGCTTTTGACATTTCTTTTGGCTTTAATCTAAATTTCTAGTTCTATTTTTTTTAACTCAGTGTGTAATTTGTTTCATATTAAAAATTGTCTAAAATACTTTTTGGAAAAACATGGAAAGGGAACTCCATAAAAATGACTTCTAATAATGGCGATGATAACGATTCCTGACACTTCACTTTCGACTTTTAATTAGTTATTTATCTATTTGTTAGACTGCAAATTCCCTTAGGGCAGTGCTGGGCTCGATATGTCCCTGCATCTCCCATGGGTTGGGTGTTTAGTAAAATTCTGTTGGATAAATACAACCTTAGGATCAGTTTTAGAGGAAACAGAATAAAGTTGTTCTTTCCCTTTCTTTTCCAATACTCTCCTTTCCTCCCCCCCACTCCCCTCCCCCCTCCTTTTTTTTTTTTTAAGAAAAGACTGTATTGATAGAATCTTTCTGCAGTCTGAGCAGCTTAGAGTTGTTATATGGGACTGCTTCTATATTGCTGGGTGAGAAGTTATTTTCTCTTCTTTCCCCTTTGAAGCCTATCATAAATTTTTTTTCTTCCTCTACATTGTTCTTCCCCTCTTCCTGCATAATTCTCCGAATAATGTTCTCCTACATAAATAATAACCACTTACATTCACATAAGCACCAGTCATATTGGCCCATTCTTTTGAAAAAGGATTTAAGATGGACATCATAGAGGATTTTTAAATTTTACAACCTACTCTCAGATGCCATTGCTGCTGTTATTAGCTAATAATTTATTGTGTACTTACCATGTGCCAGGCTCTAGGCAAGGGCTCTTCGTACGTACTCTGTCTTACTGAGTCTTACGGTAATTCAATGGAGGAGCTACTGATATTACTCCCACTTTTGATGCAAAGAAACGGAGAGGTTCTGGAACTTGCCCATGATCATACAGCACGAGGGAGTAGCACTGGGATTTGAGCCTTGGCCTTGAACTATAAAACCAATGCTCTAATCTAGGATCACTTTATCCTTTTGTACCGTTAGTTCAACCCAGTAAAACAAGCAAAGTGAAAAAGATTAGCTGTGTCCTACAGATGAGAGGCAAGTGGAGGAACAGTGTTTAGTGAGTACATAGGATGCCCAGTACTTTCTTTATTCTTTACTCATAACGTACCTGGGTCTCCAGTCACCATGTCATCCAAGGTAGACATGGTTTTCTCTATTACAAATGAGGGAACAGGAGCTGTGGGTGCTTTTTTAACTTGTACATGCACTCAGATGAGAAAGCAGAATTCGATTTCTGGTCTGTTTGACTCTAAAGTCCATATTTTTTCTACAGCCATGTAGAAAACCTGGCCCAGGTTCACAAAGTGGGTTATCAAAAACAATAACAACCGCCTATAATCCCAACTGCTTAGGAGGCTGAGGCAGGAGGATGGTATATTTAAGACCAGCCTGGCCTGCTTAGCAAAGCCCTGTCTCAGTTGAAGGAAAAAAAAAAAATCTGAGGATATAGCTCAGTGGTAGAGCACCACTGGTTCAATCCTCAGTACTTGGATTGGAGTTCTTGTAGAGGCAGTGGGGGCAGGGGTGATAGAAAAACCTGTACCAAATTTGTTCTAAATTAGAGTTCTTTTAATGACCCTTCTTAGGTTCTGGTGTTCTGCTAGGGTCAAAAAGTGCACTGCTTGTCTAGCTACGGATTGTCTTTCCCATGTGACCTTGGGGGTGGGGAGAGCATCTTATTGTGACTTGACAAGGCAAATGCATTGAATTTCCATTTCATTCAGAGCAGAGAGAGAATAGCTTTGGGAACGAGGCTAGTTCGAAACAAGGGCTCCTGAAGCTAATTAAAAGCTAGGCTGGAGCTGCACTTTTCATTCCTTAAGAATGTTCGACCTCATTAAATAGGAAAAAACAAGTGGAATTTTTGGATTTTTTTTTTTTTCAGTTTCTGCTGAGGATGGGGACTTGGAGAGAGTGAGACATGTTTCTAGGGCTCCCAGCCCAAAAGGCCTGCAATGACATGGTGGTTGCCAGTGAAGATTCACCCTTCTTGAATGCTCATCACCCTGGGAGACTGGCAACACTGCACCACACTACAGAAGGACACCATACTGTTGACTCGCAATTTCAGATGCCCCATCTTCCGCACCCCGTCCTCTGCAGTCACAGCAGGTGGAGCAAGGGGTTGTTCTTAGGAAGGACTTCCCGTGGACTCTTTCACAGGCACTTGGAGTGAACTGGAACTCATGGCCACAAGGTTCCAGGTCAAAAGAAACAAAATTTCACAGACTTCCCACGTAGCCTCTGGATGGAATAAAAACCCTAAAATATTCTCATGTTTTTTGAACTTGGAGTTGACAGTGGCCAGTGGTAAGTCAGGGGCCATATGTTCAAGTCATGAAGATGCCAAGAATTGGTAACACACACACACAAAAATCAGGTCAGCAGAGGCTTAGACTGGAATCCTTGACTTTTGATTGAAAATCCTTTATAAGGCTCATTGGGATGCCAAGAACTGTGCTGGCAGCTTGGCACATATGTAATGCTTCTAAGGACCCTGCAATGTAGGTGGCAATCTTATTTTAAAGGTGTCAAAGCAGAGGCTCCAGCCATCATCATCATCTTCACCACTCTGGCCCTAGTGAAGCTAATGTGCAGTAGGAGGAAATCGAAATTTGCAGACTAATCAGAACTGGAAGGGATACTAGAGGTCATCTCTACCTTTTGAGGATAATGGTAAAAAGATATTCAAAGTTGGAAATGTAAATTAATTTGCTCAGGGACCCACAGAGGAGCTGACACACCCACCCAGGCCTCTGGGCTTTTCCTTCCATGTGAACCAGCTTTTTCCTCTCCATGTAGCAGCAGGAGAACAAAGAGATGAAATTGCCATCTGGGGTGGATGGAACAAATGTCACGGTCTGCTCGGGCTCTGGCTGGAAGCAGATTACTACAGACATGGAAGTTTTCAAAGGACTTCTCATTTGGTCTGTCCAACATCCCTTAAAAAATGAGGGAAGGGGAAGCTTTGAACTTCTGTAGATAAATTGCCAGTGATAAAAATGGACAGCTATGTCTGTGACATGTCTTAAGGCCCGCAGAAGAAAGGTGCAGGAGGAGAGTGAAATGTTTTGAATTTCATCATCTTGTGATCTTAGGTGTCAGACCGTGCTAAATCTTCTCCTCGAAATAATGGAAGTCACCTGTCTCATTTCTTGATTTTCTCTAAACTGTTTGGGGTTCCAGGGGAAAGCTCCTCTAGAAACAGTTGTATCTTATTTGACAACTTTCTTGGGAGTGTATAGTCTAAATTCATAGCCATGACATAAACAGCAGTCTCTTTAAGCCACATGAAGGATTGGCTTGACTCTGGCATATTAGAAACCAGAAATGGCTCTATGTTCTGACCGCAGAACCCCCGCAGAACCTTGCATAGGATGGTGAAGAGACATTAGGGCTGAAAGGGATGGTGGAAACTACTTCAAACTCCTATTTTTTGAATGAAACATTAACTGCTTTTCATTTGACCATTGGTCCAGAGAAATTCTCAAGTGGTAAGCCTGCTGATGTAGTGATGATCAAGATCCTTTGCAAGGGCACATAGTAGGTGGTTTAGATGCTTAGGTCTGTTTTTCACCTTCAGTACTCTTTGTGAACCAGGTTTATTTATGTATTAAGTGAATTAAATAATGGCTCTATTGTTGGCCTGTGTTTTAAATCAAATGAAATGTGAAAGTCACATACACTGAAGCCAGTCTTAGGGTTCCCCACTTCTGCCACTGGATGGCTAGTAAGTCCCTGGATCGATCATACCAATTCCCACTTTTTCAATGTGATACCAGGATTTTACACTTACAAAAAAAAAAAAAAAAAAAAAAAGATTTGAGGGTGGGCATTTTCTGAATAATTTGACTGATAATTATCAAGTATCTTATTCTGCTTGAACCTCAAAGAACCTGTGAAGTAGATGGCAAAGGGACATTTATTCTCCTCATGCAGAGGAGGAATCTGAGGCACAGGCAGGTGAAGCGGCCAGCACAAGGTAACATGGTGTGCCAGGTAGAGGAACAATAGGTTTCCTCAATTTCAATCTAGAATTCTTTCCTTTTTAAATTGCATAAGTTCTTAACTCTCCTGATTTTGAGTATATGTATTTGATCACTGATACATCTTTTCAAGGTAAGAAAAACACCTGGCTGCTACTTGCCACACCACAGTAATGACCACATACTTTGTACGTATCCATGGTTTCTCCAAATGGCCACCTGCTCCTTCTCTAGTTGAAGGCCAACTCAAATCACATTTGCTCTCAAGTTGATTGATTTTCTTTTCCATATGTCTCCACAGTGTTTTGCACTGCCTCTGCTACAGCACATCAGAGGCACTAGCCCATACCTAGGTGGTTCTCATGGGGACCACAGAAGGAGGGAACCCAATGACCAATTTGAATGCAAGCTTGTTGAGATCCACAGCGGCCTTTGTTTTTATACATTCATCATTTAACACAGTTCCTGGCACACAGTACATATTTCATAGATACTTGACTAAAAGATGCCCAGAACCTGAAAATTAGGCTATTCCTAAAAAGAAATAAGGTGGTAGGCAAGGAGTAATGTAATAAAAATGGAAACTAGGTTTTCAGTCTTCAGATTTCAGTGTAGATTTCTTGAGGCTATGGAAAGTTTCCTGAGCACCGTGAATCACATGATGATCACAAATGCTTTGGGGGCACAGGGGCTCTAGGAACCTGTTTGTCAGATGGGTCACCCAGCGTTTCCTGTTCTGAGTGAGTGTGAGCTCCTTTAACTCACACCTGGAGAGTTGAGCACTGGCCTTCCTGCGCTGTTGTGTTAGCCCAGACATTTTCTTTTAAGTGTGAAAAACAACTTTAGATAGAAAAAAAATGAATTGAGTAGGGAATGAAAAAATCCGTGAGTCCCAGAATAACCTCCTGTTTTGTAATGATTTATCCTGTTCTATTGTTAATTCCGCAATTAAGCAAGAGTACTTTATATGCCTGAATGACCCATGGATTGTATCTTAATCAAATTAATGTGTCTACAACATAAGACTGATTTTGCGTTCAACTATTAGAATGACAAATGATGCAAAGCCCAAGTTCTCTTTCTTTTCTTTCTCTCTCTTCTCCCCTCAAAACCCTCTATTGTGAAAGGTCAACTGTTGAAAGCATGTTGTTTTGATGAGGACCATGAGATCTCATTGGTTAAAAATGTGAACAGACCAGCTATCTCCCCTCACCCACTTCAAACCAACTGTATGTGTGTGTGACTCTGTGTGTAAGTTTGGGTGAAAAAAAATATATACTGTGGTTGATTCTTCTTGTTGTGCACTTCCTGCCACTGACATTTGTTGCTGCTGCTGTGTAATGAGGTTAAGGCTGTGCAGGAGAGTCGGATGCAAACGACCTACATATTTACTCCCCAATTTTGACCATCATTCTGGGAGAACCAAGGAAGTAGGAAAAGATGGCCAGGAACACTATCCAGAAATTGCACTACCCTAAAAGCAACCCTCCATTTTTTAAGATTACAAATCATAAGTTAATGAATTTTTATAAACAGTCCCTTGTGGGTTTGGGTCATCTACTTTTTTGAAAGAAATTTGGTAACAATTTCCCATATTCGTCCAATTTATTTTATGTCATTTATGTAGTAAGTGAAAAAAGAAAAGTTCATCAGATCACATTGCTTCCCTGTTTGAAAACCTTTAATGATTTCCCACTGTTCTTAGCACTTAGATAAGATTCAAAGTTCTTGCCATGACTCAGAAGGGCCTGTATAATCTGGTCCCTGCCTTTCCCATCCACTCAGTCTTTCACCAACTGCTGCCCCGCTCAGGCTACCTGCTTTGCAGCCTGTGGGCCTTGACATGGGCTGTCCCTGCGGCCTGCTGGCCCTCTGCTCCACTCCTGGCTCAGAGCATGAGGGTTACCCGACAGATGGCATTTCTTGGACACCACCGTATGAACTCTACCATTCCTTCTGCCACATTTCCCCACACCACCCTGTACATTCTCTCTTGTCATAATTTCTAATTTTATGTACGTTTCTGTACTTAATTTTAATTTAATGTCTGTTATTTTCTCTAGTCAATAAATTTTATGTCTGCTTTGTTTGCTTCTTTTTCCAGTCCTGAGTGTATAGTAGGAACTTAATTAATATTTATTAATGAAAAAAAAAATGAGCAATGCATTGACTTTCATAACACTTAAAATTCCTTAGCCATAAAACGAGAATAGTCATGTCACGCTTATTCTATGGCTAGCTACGGAGTACATTTTGATATTTGCTTTACACTGAACTTTGAGACGTTGAGATATTAGCTGGACATGGAAGGATGTGAGACAGAGTTTTTTGTTTTTCTCCTCTGTTCAAAGTCCATTGGCTCATGCAGTGGGGATTAGACATAGCCTCTGGTTTTCAAACTATGCCAGGCAAGAGTAGCTACACCATTGTTGCATCTGCTCTTCTTTAGGCTCAATAGTCAGTGTCTTTAACCAGCCAGGCAAGTTTCTGAGAATCCTCAAGTCAATGGTTGGCATCCTCAATATACCCTTCTCTAAAAGCTTCTTGCCCAAGTAAACTTGGAGAGGTTAAAAGAGGTTCAAAAATTATTAAAGATGACACTAAGCACAAAATGCCACTGTTTTCCCAATCCTTTCTCAAAAGGTGCAAAGCCCAGGCCTTCTGTCTCTCCCCTTACCTTTCACTCCATCCCTCCTGGCCCTGAGATTTGAAGCCTAGAGCTTCTCTAGGTGTATTCTCTCAAAACCCACGGCTGTGATTTCTTTCTAGGTCGAGAATTTCTTCCAGGGTAGATTCAGAAATCTGAGAGAAGTTGAGAATAAAGAGTGAAAGTGACAAAAGGAGCTATATGTTTTCAGGAAAGCTGATGATTATAAGTAGACTTCAATTTATCTGTAAAATGAGGATTAAAAATATCAAGCTCACAGAGCACTTATGACTAAATTAAATTACATGTAAAATAGTATTCTTACTATATGGGATACTTGATGTCAACAAATATTATTAATCTACCACTTTCACTTGTCCCTGCTCTTTGGTCACTCCAGAATCCACATGATTCATCCCAGGATGGGAGGAAAGAATCAATTAAGACAGTTCACCAAGTTGTCAGGAAGTCGGTTGACTTTAGAAAGTGAATTGGTTAGAAGATTGACCTCACATTGGATTTTCTACCTCAGCTCTGTAGATATGCTTTTAAAATGCCAATATGCACAGGAGTTTTCATGGAAAGCAAACGCACTCTCCCCTATGCTCAAAACTAGCAATGTAGTGGGCAGAGAACTTT